GCCTTCCAGCCAAATATTTTGCATAAGGATTTTGGCTACAATTATGACAGGCGCAAGCCACCCCAGCGGATCGAAGAGTTTAGCAATGGCAGATAGTATCGCTCTTTTCGTAACAGCATCGCTTTTCTCCAATGGCCTTGCTATAAAATAGAAAAGATCCGTATGGGCATTCCATCTTATTCCAAGAGCCTTGACTGCGCTGGTATCTTCAAATGCCAAAAAATCTTCGCTAAGTAGATCTGTTTTTGGTATGCCATTAAGTATTTGCTCGCTATTGGCTGTCCACTTTCGAAGTGGAAAACCGGCTGATTGCAACACTTCCGATATCTCATCTCTGGCTTTTATTGCTGAATCGATAGTGTGTCCACCAGACAATACATCGTCGACATACATGCATTTTCGTAGTATGTTAGATGCTATTGGATGGGAGCTTTGCACATCGTCAGCTAATTGTAAAAGTGTCCTTATAGCCAGATAAGGAGCACAATTGATGCCGAACGTGACAGTCTTTAATTCGTACAGACTGATCGGGTCATTCGGGTTAGTGCGAAAAATAATCCTCTGATACTTAGTATGGTTGTTATGTACCAGAATTTGCCTATACATCTTTTCGATGTCACTGTTGAACACATATTTGTATAGTCTCCAACGGAGTATTAGTATCGGAAGATCTGCCTGAAGTACTGGTCCTGGGAAAAGTACGTCATTTAGGCTGTTGCCATTCGCCGTTGGGCTTGAGGCATTGAACACCACGCGTACTTTCGTTGAAGTACTTTCTGCCTTTATAACAGCGTGGTGCGGCAGAAAATAATTATCAGACGAGTCTGCGGGTATGGGATTTGTTATTTTCGACATATGCCCAAGCGTTTCATATTCCGCTAGAACCCTATTGTATTCCTTTTGCAGGACGGGATCCTTGGCCAGCCGTGTCTCATTCCGGTAAAATTGAGAACATGCTCTTTTAAGGGATGGGCCTAGGGAAATATTTCCTGGAAAATCTTTCCTAAATGGTAGTGACACGATGTATTTTCCTTCATTATTTCGTATGGTTGTCTTCTGATACAGCTCCTCGCAGTACTTGTCGTCTTCATTAAGGCTCTTGTTCTTTGGAATCTCCTCAAGCTCCCAAAAAGCACTCAGTTGCTTGTCCAGACTAACTTCGCTGTAGTATGAGACGATATTCGTTCCTGGATTCGAGGTATCAGTTCGCCCTGTTATTATCCAGCCAAATACTGTTTCTTGGGCCAGAAGTGTGTTTAATATGTTTTTCTTAAGCCCGCTCAGAATAATTTGTGGATATATGTCGCCACCCAGAACAAGGTCTACGGGTTCATTGACGAAAAATCGTTTATCCGCTAGAATTAGATCTGGAAATGCTTGCTTAGTCACTGCACTAATGTGGCAAGTAGGAAGATTTCCAGTCAGTTGTGCTAGCACAAGCACAGAGGTATTTAAGCGGAACAACGGGTCAACAGGAGACCGCAATTCGATGTTGCACGCTTCTTTAACCTGCGCCGTAGTTGTATTAGTGATGCCCGAAACTTGGGCATGCATACGCTTTGACGGCAAGTGAATTCTGCGTTTTAGTCTTTCAGTAATGAAAGAACACTCTGAACCAGAATCAATAAGTGCTCTAGCGGAATAGTTCGTACCATTGAGATAAATGTTGACGCGTGCTGTCCCTAATAACACACCTGTGTTTGTATTCGCATAGCAAGACTTCACGTTTTTGCTTGTATGCTTGTTTGACTTTGTTGAATTGCGTTTGGCTTGGGCCTGATTGGATGTTGATGCAGAATTAGTCGCAGAATCCAAAGAGGTCCCAAGTGTCGTTGCCTTTGTTTGAGCTGTCTCAATATGAAGGAGCGTGTTGTGTCGCGAGTGGCACTTTATACAATTAAATGGGTTTGTGCATCTTGACACGGTATGTCCAGTACTAAGACAGTTCAGGCACCATTTTTTGCTTTTCAAAAAATCGATTCTATCAGCAGGTGTTTTGTTGAGGAATTGTGGACAGTTGCGTAACTTGTGCTCATTAGTTTGGCACATTTGGCAGGTGAACTTGCTCACGCTTGCCTGAAAGGCTCCTAGCCTTTTAGTGTTAGCTTCCTGGTGGTGCCGTGCGGGTTGGTGCTTTGGAGCTTTCACAGTTGTTGTACCCTTTAGCCCCGCTAGAGTTTCCAAAGTTTGGAATCTATTGGATAGGAACCTGTCCATATCCTCCCACTTTGGAATGTCAGTTTTCTGGTCTATGGTCTGTTCCCATAGGGCCAGTGTACTTTCTGGAAGCTTCGTTGAACACAAATATATAATAATTGCGTCCCAATTAGAGATGTCAATTTGATGACTTTTTAGGGACGATAAACAATTATTAATCTCGCGCTGTAGGTTTTTAATTGAGCTACCACACTCAGATTCCACTGTATTTAAGCTAAATAAAACTTTTAATTGTGTGTTAACTAAGATACGTTTGTTTTCGTATCGCTCACACAGGTTTTTCCAGGCTGTCGAAAAGCCTTCATGGGTAAGTGGGCACTTTCGCACTATGTCTTTTGCCTCCCCTTGTGTTTTATTGTTGAGGTGAACTAGTTTCTCAACTGGGGTGAGGCGCTTGTTCAGGATGTAGATGGCCGTGAACATATCTCGGAAAGTTGGCCATGAGAGATAGTCGCCCTTGAACACATCTGTATCGCACGGTGGCAGGTGGATATTGTGTTCTCGGACGGACCGATCCTCTACATCTTTGTTCGCTTTGGTTAGAATTTCAACCTGAGAACCAATAGCAGACATGCACCTAACATAGCTTTGAAAGGAAATCTTATTCTTCTTTTTTATGGCCTTAGCATCATCCTTAGACAATCCCTCATTGATAAGCTTATCGTAAGCTGACTTTGTTTTTTTCCCACAAAGCTTTTAACTCGTCTTGTTGAATAGCAAGACCATGTTTGTTTTGTTCTGCGGCGGGTATGCCGTTGTAATCAGATTCAAACTCTGTTACAGCTTCTGCCAAAAGAATATACGAATCCATTGTTTAACGTGTTTACCCTGACCGAAGTATTAACTGTAATGCCCAGATAGAATCTATAGGATTTTACACACTTAATCTTATTGAAGATTAGAGGTTGTATGCGCAAGAGAAGTTGCCAATTTTTTACCCACCGGAACTTGCCACTTAAATGTATACCAGAAATCCAACGAATTAAAAAGATGCAAAATAGTTTGTATTGCGAAATATATTCGACACTTTATTAAAATGTAAACCTTTTTCTTCTAGAATTATTGTTTACTAACGACTCGCCACCCAACTGTGCTGACTAATATCTACGCGCTTTGATAAGCTATGCAAGGTACGCAATAAGGTGTAAATAATATACGTGGTAAAATCGTGATGTGTGCAACGTACGCAGCAAATTTTAATAAACAGAGTGACCACTTCGATGAGTGCAACGTACGTAGCAAATATATATGGTAAACAATGTGCAATGTATGAGTTGAATCGCTTATGCGTAGTGATTTAGTGAAAATCTACAATTGGTCCAATGCAAATAACAAAATTTAGAGGTTATGTATCCTCGAAACAGTGACAGTGTTCGCAAATATACAAAAGAATGTAAGCCAACTAAGAGGCGCAGTGAAAAAACGATCAGAAAAAATGAAGGTTATGATTATGGACTGTCAGTTTAAACAAAATCTAAATCCTTCATTAACAATATTAAGTGATGCGGATCACTGACGTGAGTGTGTATATACGAGTGGTTGCAAGGTGCACTTATTTTTGGTTGCCGTGCGCGGACGTAATTTGAACCGAGACTTTAAAAAATGTGCAGCAAACCAACGAGTACTGTGTGACACTGTGTGTATGTTTATGTTGCAAAGAACACCTAATTGTGGTCGCTGTTGTCACTTGCGGACGGACAGACTAACCTCAATTATTAATAGTGTGGCTTTAAAATTAAATGCTCCAATTGTATATTTTCAGTTGAAACACTCGCGAGATTCTAGTTTGCACACGCGCATTGAATTTAAAAAACTTTTTTTTTTTTTTTGGCAATTTTCTATCAAGTGCAATTGAAATTATAACCACGTACCTTGAATTAGAAGTGATTGGTGATTGGTGGTTGTAGTGTTGTACGCTCGTTGGTGTCCTGGCAAATTAAGCTGGTGTCGTGGCAAGAAAGCTGAGTGTGGTTGTGTTGTCGCTAGATCTCTGTGGCTTGACCGATCGTTGGCGCAAAAAACGTTGTGGCAAAAAAGTGGGTGCTGGACAATGATTCCCTGTGTACGCTGTGGTTGTGGACTGTAATATATATATGCAGGTCGTTGGTCATTTATTGCTCGGCTTCGATGGGACCATGTCAAAAACGCATGTGCTTCCTCGACTTTAGCGCTCAGACGCACAGGGGTT